GGAGAGTTCTTCCGTATTCACCTTATAGCCCTGACCTCGTGCCAAAGGATGCCCACCTGCTTCCCTCTCCAAACCACCTCCTAGAGAAGAAAGCTCATCCTAACCATGATGATGTCAAAATCGACATCTGATCTTTCTTCGATCAGAATTCAGTAGAGTTCTACAAGGAGGCATCGAGCAGCTACTAGTGCGTTGGCAATAGGTTGTAGATATTGATGGTGTGTAGCATGCTGGATGAATGGAACAAAAAGATAATGAAAATATTAAATTCAAAATTCGGCCAGTTTGTTGCAAGACTTATGGACCAACCTAATACTATCTATTGCCAACGCGTTAGAAGCTGTTCGATGCCTCTCTTGTAGAACTCCGCTGAATTCTGATCGAAGAAAGATCAGATGTCGATTTTGACATCATGATGGTTAGGATGAGATTTCTTCTCTAGGAGGTGGTCTGGAGAAGGGTGGGCATCCTTTGGCACGAGGTCAGGGCTATAAGGTGGATACGGAAGAACTCTCCGTCCGAGAGTCTCAAAATTTTCCTGAATTTTCTTAGCAAGAGGTGGTTCAACGGTGTCATAAAAAGCAAACTTTGCCTTGTTTTTCTTTCGTATTAAAAGCGTTGCATTCGAGCTGTGGACGGTTGACTTCCGCGTTGACTGCGACACCTACACCGATGTAGCACATTAGCAGTCAGAAGTCTTGGAGATGCCTCAGTGCTGTATCCTTGTCGCATCAGAATTGCTCTGCAAATGATCGATACTCTATCCAGATCCCTTTTCAACAGCGTCAGATAGAGCATCGTGATTGTCAGTCAGGGTGGTTGGAGTGTGGATCATCTTCAAATAAAAAAGTCAACGCTGAGCAGAGTGAAGCGCCGGTGCACCGTGAATTGAGAGAGCGTGCCCATCTTCTGGCTAATCCTTGGTGTAGCATGACTTGCGGAACATTCCAAGCAGTACTCGTAAAAATTAGGGCACGAAGAGCTTTTCGCGAAATCGGTGTAATATCCATAACAAGTAGCGAGACAACGAGCTGGACGGTTGGCTGAAATTGCAAAGGTGGATGCTACGTCAGGAAACATGTTGCGGAATTTTCGGAGTTCTCCAAAAATTCTCTAGCATTAAATGTAATTTGTTGCAAGACTTATGGACCAACCTAATACAATCAGTTTTACAATGCAAACTTGAGAGCAGGTGTTTTTGTACGTCCTACATCGTACATCACACGTTGCGACCGCGATCCGCTGTCGGGTACCACATTTGTTTCATAAATTTTCTAACAGGAGGTAGGAAAAGCAAGATTCATTAAATATTAGAGCAAAGTAGTACAAGTAAATAATACAAAGGCAAAGGCAAGAACTTCCCTAAATCGGGGCAGATCTATTACACGTGAAATGGACAAACCCTACCACCCAGTGACTGTCTGTCGTGCATAATCCGAGGGTAGGACGTACCTGCACGTGCGACCTAACCAGTGGTTGACTAGCGACCGTATCCGCTAGTTCTAGGTTGTTTGACTACATGGCTTCCATAAAAAAATTAACGCTTCCACTGTGTTTTTTACAACAGGCATCTCGCCATCCTCGACCACGAAATGAACGGCGGTTAAAGTCGTGGTGACCTTGATTTTTTGAATGGAGTGCGTGGCCTCGGACAGGATCGGTGGTATCCTGGGGTGTGGTTCGACGTCCACTATTCCTTGTCTCGTAATAATATGAAAAATCAGCGGTCTCCGTAACGGGATGACGGCGTTAGTTTTTAGTTGGGCTGGACACGATGCAGTCCTGGCAGCTGTAATGAAGAGTTGTGCTATTCCAACGCGGCTGCCCAAAATCTTTTCGCCGCACTTTAGGTGAAGTGACGGCCAGTTGCGAGACTTATTTTATCTACCAATATTCTGAAAGGTACATTTCTGATGTTGTTCTCTTATCTGCACGGATGGAGGCATTTTATCCGCTGCTTGAGACTTGGCTCCTGTTCAGCTGTTTCATCCATGAAAACTCATAGAAGGTCCACGCTTCATAGTTGAAGTTAAAGTTTATTACGTCCGCTTAAAGCGAAACAGACTAATGCATCACCTCATAAATGAAATCGAATAATACAACCCCATCGCCCAGCAGTTCTGGTAGGGCTATAAGTTCCGCTCCTCTTGATAGCTTGCACCAGCAGGTACCGCATGTTCTTCAACGCAGAAGCTCTTCGTAGTGAAGTGGTGAGAGGAGAACGACGAGCGACGGCCCTTCCTTGGAGCAGCAGGTTAACGTCTTTCAGCGTTCTAACCGATTCGCTGTCATAGTGGCTGTTATGGTCCAAACAACTTAAAAATTCCTCGAACCTCCCTCGGTAGGATTATTGATCGACGAGGTTTAGGAAAATCCAAGGATGCAAACTAGCAACTTGCAGTGAATTCTTGAGAGATTGTAGGGCTCCGCACGACTGCGAGCATGAAAGCCAGGCATCGTCTTCGTGGCGCCAGCGTTGAATGATAGTGGAGATGGCGTGACTATATCATATGAAGAATCTATCGGACGACCACGCGGAAATTCCCTGGTATATGAGTCTGGGTAGCAACCGAAAACAAACGAGCAAGCTCGCACGGTGAGGCAGACACGCATGAAGATAGTAAAATTTTGGGAAGGAGACTCTCGAGGTTCACACTGACCCCAAGGCTGAATTTTTGCCTTACGTCCAGGTTACCGGCTCGGCCCCAAGATGGACCTTTGTCGCTTTAGGTTCTAATTGTAAGCCTAATTCGGAAGATCACGAACCTGTCGCGCCGCTTCTCAGGCCCAACTAATAAGGCGCATCGGCGGAGTCCGTGAAGCTCTCGACACGTCGCGACAAAGGAAAATTTGAAGGGCTTCCTACGCAAGCTCTTTGACCTGCCAGCGGGCAACGCTTACCAAGGCCCTATCGCCCTTATTTGAGGCTACCGGAAGGAGTAAAGATCATTGAGTAACTAGATTCACCTTGAGCACTAACGAGCCTACTACGATAATCCACATAAGGAATCAATGGGTAAAACCTTTCCATGACATGGCAATGCAGAAAATCAATCATCGTCAAATTTAATGAAAAGATTGGCAACTGCGAAATGTGACAATATAAACGACCTAACTTGAGGGACGAACTGACCGCCTTACTAGGGGCCTTAGCCGATCCTCACCCTCGAGGGCATACCGGAGCGCAGCGCCATAGACGTGTGTCATGCAGGGCTGTCCGACTCGGCAGCGGGCCCAAGAGTTGCCCCATCCGCGTTGATCCGACGGCCGCAATCGTCCTCGAGTAGACGGGCAGTGACGCAGTACAGAATGAGAATGGCGTGGGGAGAGCGAAACGACCGCTCAGGCGGGAGACATGTCGACGAGACTGGCGATCCAATTTTAGGCCGCTGGTACTGATGATCTCTTTGCATGATACGGTATCAGCTCGCGATGGGACCCCAGTGCGGTGGACCTGACGTTGCTCCTTGAGAACTGATTGGACAGCATTGATTGTCCAGGATAATCCTTGCAACACTATGAACAAGGTTTGATTGGGATAAAATTCATAAACTCTTTCCATAGTTTTTTCATTATTTGACTGCTGCAGTGTATCTTCGGAGGTTTCGGCAGAAGCGTAAATGGAAGCTAAGTGCAGCGTTTAACTGCTTCAAACTTATCTCTGAATCATCCATTTGACCTATTTTATTTTTTGAGCTCCTGTAAAGCTACTCCGTTTGTGTCGTGAGCGGAGCATCTTTGTGTAGTCAGGAGGGATGTCATTCACCAGGCCATAGTGTTCCGTTAAAATTTTCCATTCAACAAAAGGAAGGTACAGTCAAAAATTTTGGACAAAGTGTCGCAGAATTTTCTGAACAACTCAATACAAATTGTTCCCCCGAAGGTTTCTCTTTTCGTTACTCTCGCCGTGTTCCCTTCCTCTGCACTCTATCTGCCACTGCAGCACTTGTGGAATGAACGAGTGTGCCCAGTGGGTGTTTATGTCACCATTTTATTTGTTATCACAAAAATTCAGTAGTAAAATGTTCATATTGCGAGGCCTGTGAAACTCCCAGTTTTGTCGTAAGCGGTTTGTTTATTCCATGAGCTTCCTTGCCACATCGTTTCGCGGACGGACAAAACAGACAGACACAGTGACAGATATACTACTACATATGTATGTATGTGCACAAAAACTGATACACTCTC